CTAACCTGACCTGTTGATCCACCTTCCTCCCCTATTCCTGTCAACTATCCGTTCACATCCTGCATTTCAGTCTCCAATACTGAAGTCTTTTACTCATAATTTCCCCACCTACTTCTCCTACCTTCTGAGCTAAAACTGCTCATCTTGTCGATCTCCACTGAGGCTCCCACAGAGCTGGAGTGATAGGACTTGATAGGACTCCTGGGGAGGTTATTCTTACACAGAGGCTGTGCACAGTGCACACCCTGAGCAGCCCTCCAAGGAGGCCCTGAGGCCTGATGCTTGTCCTCGCTTCCTACAGTATTTTTAAGCACTCTCCTCTGTGTGCAAACTCCATCTAGGAAGGCACGTGACTTTTATGCTGTGGTTTTATACTCCATACTCAGGATATGTTCAGAATATAGTAGCTGTTCAGCAATACTTGAATGATAGACTTGAGGGCACAGATGAAGGTCACAACAGATTATTGACACAGCCAGTCATTTCCTCATACTAGATGAGGCTAATTGTGTTTGGTTCATTTGAATTTTAATAGTTGACTTGGTTTTAAAAAAGAAGGTAGTGACTCATTCTTCTCTGATTTATTGAATTTTAATTTTTTTAAAGATTTATTTATTTATGCAAACAAAACTGGGGTACAGGCCAGAAGTGCAGGGGCGGCGAGAAGATTGACCAGAGACAGAGCAGGAAGCAGAACAGGCAGATCGAGGAAGTACATTGCTGAGGGGAGCATGGGGTGAGACAGGAGAGGTCTGCTGCACCATGTGGGTCACCTCCACAGACCGGGGATCAAACTCACACTGAAGTGGCTGCGGCTAGCTTGCAGTGCAGCATCCCTACCCATTGCGCCACCAGGGAGGGCCAGATTTAAATTTTTTAGTGAGTGATTACATGTTTTTAGTGCGATACATTTTCCTTTTCTTAAAATAAGGGCAAGGTCTGGCCCTCCTTGGTGGCACAATGGGTTAAGGTGCAGCACTATGAAGCCAGCCACAGTCACTGCAGCACGAGTTCAATCCCCAGTCAGAGAGGTGGTCCACATGGCGCAGCAGACCTCTCCTGACCCACCCACTGCTCCCCTTAGCAGTGTATTTCAGTCTTTCTGCCTGTTCTACTCCCTACTCTGTCTCTGGTGAATCATCTCATTCACCACACCTCTGGCCTGGACCCCAGTTGTTGCATGACTTAATAAATAAATCTTAGGGAAGAAATAAGGGCAGATCTTTCATGTAGGGACAAAGATAACCTCCCACATTTTGCTTTTCAGATGGTTACAAAATCAGCAATGCCTCTTTGGGTCTTTCCATGTGAGGTTTTCAGCAGATTAACTGGAAGTGATGGTCTAAGTTCCCCTTTGATTAAGTCAGCAACCCATGGGAAGAGAGTGTTGTCTGTGTGAGTTGTTTTTTTTTTTTTTTTAACTCATTGAAGAAATAAGGAAGGGAAGGGGAGAACAGTGGTATACTAAGTGAGAAATGTAAGTGCTTTCAAAGTGTTTTCACATCTGTCTGTGAAGCTATAGGCACCTTCAACCACCTTCTCAGCTGAGAACAAGGAGTTTGCAGCTCATCTTTGTCATTAGTATGTAGTCATAACAAGCATCTGATACTGTCATTTGTTGTTGTTTATTTGACTAGAATTGGATAGACTCAGTCTAGTCTAAGACTCGGTTAGTTTTTCTGAACTTGGCCTTGGCTTTGTTATAGCGAATACAATTCAGGAACAGTCAAGTGGAAGAGATGATTGAGCCAGGAAAGATGAGCTCCCCCATGCCTCTCTGGACAAACTACACGTACCCAGCACCTCACTGTGTTCATGATCCAGCCTTTTTATTTAGGGGTTCAATCGAAGTTCCATGACATAGGCAGGATTGAGTAAATTATTGGTCCTGTGGTGATTAACTCAAGCCCCAGTCCTTCTCCCCTCCCCAGGCTCCGGGGATGGGGATGAAGCTTCCAAATCTGTTATTACAGGGTTGGTTTCTTGAAAGCCAGCCCTTATCCTGAACTGTCTTGGGACCCACCAAGATACTTTCTTAACTTAAATTCAGGTATGGTTGGGAGGGACATGTTATAACTAACAAAGCCATTCAGGAAGTTCTAAGGGTTTCAGCTCTGTGTCTGGAAGCAGGGACTTAGATCCAAACAATACTAACTGTGGCTAAAGTAAATGCCAAGAGTTCAGTTTCTAGTGTGCCAAATATATTAGTGTTGTAACTCTCCATTCTTGTGCCAAGAATATGCAACTAAGTATCTGTATAAATGTGGCATATAGATAACCTATTTAAAAAAAAAAAAAAACTAAACAACCATAAAAATTTAACCTTGGGTCAAGCCATAATCATTCTAAAATGCCAGACACTTAATGAATAATTGATAAAGAGTCTTTAAGTCTCTCCTAAATCTCTCTTAAAACCCTTCCATTTATTTTTACTAACCAGAGATCAAATATACCAGTTTCTTTCTGTTTCATCTTCTTAATATGTATATAAGAACTCCAAACAAAACATTCCATTATGGCTGACTCACCCACAGGATTTAATCTACTAGTCTAGTAGTCAAAGCAGCCTGCAGGGCTCAGCTGAGGAGCAAACTCCTTCCCTGGCAGTGTGTGTCTGGACATGGTTTGGGATCTTTTTGAAGCTGAGATGACTTATTTTTAAAGAACCAGCTTATATCACTGAGTTAGCATGAGAAATAGGAATAAAGCTATGCAATCCTTTATTAAATGCAAATATTGTTCTTCAGGGTACTATTTCATTTCATTAATATTAACTATCTTAACTGGGTCAATATTTGCTTTCTCCTTAGTTCCCTGTTCTCCCTCCCAGGGCCTAGCAATGAAGAAGGAAGAGTAAAATGTCCCTGGACTTTGATTCATATCACTCTTTGATTCATACACTCAAATTAGTGTATCTCACTAATTTGGGGGATTCTTACTCATGCCTATTAAGCAATAAGTTAACTAAGTTTGCAAAAATAACTTACTCAAAAGTTATTTCCTTAGTTCTAGTGACTTTCAGAAAATCTTCACTTCGCAGATGAAAGTTTCACTTGGGTACATGAGTGAAAATGCTTTTTGGGTGCACCAGAATATGCCAGAATAGCTGTGAAAGGGTTGAATACATGTGGGTAGATAGGAAGTGTAGGATAGTGGGCGTATAATATGCTAAGTCCGTGATATTCAGAGTTTAGTTCTTACCCACAACATCATCCAGTGTGAGGTAGCCAATCAGGGGACCTTGCACAGGTCATTCAATGCCCCTGGATGTTCTCAGCTATTGTTCTGGCCTCATGTTTGCTTCCTGAAGTCCTGTGCCTTTCATTTGCAGAATGACAGAATCACTAAGGTTCACTCATGAAGTTTGATGGCCAGG